TATATATATAATATATCTCTAATATAAATCTATATATAATTCCAGAATGTATTATTAATAAACATGCATAATAACATATGCATTTAGAGTCTACATTAGGCACTATGGAGTTGTTCAGAAGCCTACAGACAGTTGTATGTGCTTGTCATTACCTTCTACAGAAAAGACTTGTCGAGCACTAAAAGAATTTAGAGTCCAATTACATAAATCTTTTCATAATGTTGGCATTTCACACACACACAAACAGTGCATCTGAAGCCAATTAAATTATTCTGATAAGCAGAGAAACGCAAGCACATGTCTAGAAGAACTGTGACCCTGGTTTCTATTTGTGTCTCCATCAGATTTCAGCAATCTCATTTAAACATAAAACCTGTATAGTTAAATTTTATGTTGTTTCCCATAAAGTTGAAGTACAAAGAACGTTGGGTGGCAAGTTATATTTAATAAAAACGGGAAACAATAGAACTTGAGGTTGGGCATGCTGAGAACGTGTAATTGAAGTTACTCACTCAAATAGGGACCTGAATAAGCTCGAGGAATGGGGCCCGGTGAACGTCATGAGGTTCAAAAAGGCCAAGTGCAGAGTCCTGCACCGGGGGCAGGGCAAGCCCCAGTACCAGTACAGGCTGAGGGATGAATGGATTGAGAGCAGCCCTGCAGAGAAGGACTTGGGGGTACCGGTGGATGAAAAGCTGGACATGAGCTGGCAATGTGCGCTCGTACCCCAGAAGGCCAACTGTCTCCTGCGCTGCATCCAAAGCAGTGTGGCCAGCAGGTCAAGGGAGGGGATTCTGCCCCTCTACTGCACTCTGATGAGACCCCACCTGGAGTCCTGCGTCCAGCTCAGAAGCCCTCAGGAAAGCCCCTCGGGAGCACAGGAAAGACATGGACCTGTTGCAGCAGGTCCAGAGCAGGGCCACCAAAATCATCAGAGGGATGGAACACCTCTCCTATGAGGACAGGCTGAGAGAGTTGGGGTTGTCCAGCCTGGAGAAGAGAAGGCTCCGGGGATACCTTATTGCAGCCTTTCATACTTAAAGGGGCCTTGTAAGAAAGATGGGGACAGACTCTTTAGCAGGGCCTGTTGTGATAGGACAAGGGGTAATGGTTTTAAACTAAAAGGAGGCAGATTTCAACTCGATATAATGAAGAAATTCTTCACAATGGTGGTGGTGAAACACTGGCATGGGTTGCCCAGACAGGTAGCAGATGCCTCACCCTGGAACCATTCAAGGTCAGGTTGGACAGGGCTCTGAGCAACCTGGTCTAGTTGAAGATGTCCCTGCTCATTGCAGGGTGGGTGGACTAGATGACCTTTAAAGGTCCCTTCCAACTCCAACTGTTCTATGATTCTGTGATTTTCTCTTTGTCCATATTCAACAATAAATCTATATTTTCAGGGCTTATTTGGCAAAAAACACCCCAAAACCAAACAACAACTCTAAAGGATCTCATCTCACCAGATGCTGAAGTTCTTTCAGGTCCCTACAGACCATATAGAAGACACCAAGTAGAATATTGATATATGCAGCATAGAAATCCGCAGAATATTCTGCGGGATGATTCTGAGACAAGATCTTCTGCAGGTGTCCTGTTTAAATAAAAATAAGTTTTGCTTAAAGCTAACTTAATAAAGTGACCACATTTTACAAGTTAAGTGGGAAAAAAAACCCTAATCATCACTAAAAAAACAAAATCCAACAAAAACTACACTGATTAAAAGAACTAGCAAATATAATGGAACCAAAATGTTACTTTGACATGTTTTGGCAAGTGGAAAAAGACAATTCTTTAAAGGTTGTATGAATATAGACTTGTACATTCCAGTAGCTATTACATATTCCAGATTCTCTACAAGGCATACTGATAAACATGGAAAAAACATTTGGATGTTGTTTGACAAAGTATTATTCAACTGCCAAAAAGCAGATTAAAGAATTAGTTTACCTATGCTGTAATCGGGAAAATACAAGGTGAATGGCTCAAAGCATCCAGTATTTGGACGGAACAGTTCCCATACTATTTCACTGAGCAGGACAACTGTCACATTTCTGTCAGTCTGCACAGGGAAGGAAAAAAAAAAATAAGAGAGAGAGTGACAAATAAGCAAAGAAAGAAAAAAACAACACTGCATGTTACAGTATTAATGAGAAAAATTATTGTGACATTTCTGTTCCACAAACCAATCAAATTTACAGTTTAATACAAAATACTGGCATAGTAATAAAACTTCATCTGGCCTAATCAAGAAGCTCATACATTTGCAAATTTCCATAATTACATGTGCTTTCTCTGCATCCCTTGCCATTTCACTGACTTGTAAGCTTTGTGAGGTGATAGAGCTCTGGTACTAGACAATACCAAGTAGATTCCATTCCTTACTCCCAAAATTATGACAGCATTTTACTTTGGTTCAGAACAAAGAGGAAGAGCTAAAAAGTGAAAAAAAGCTCAGTGCTTTCTGAAACCAAGCTACCTAGTACTTTATTTTAAAGGTAAGTCAGTCTTTAAAAACAAACAAAAAACATCCCGAAACAAGAACACAGTATTAACTATGCCCAGTCTATTACTGCATGGCTCTGTGACTGGTGCCACTGCTACAGTTCTGGGTTTTTTGATAATGGGACGGCCTACATGGCGCCTGGCTTGCTGGCATCAGATGGGATTAACCCCTCTGAAAGGGGGAAGAGGGTCTTTGATCACAAGCTAGCAGAGCTCATTGACAGGGCTTTAAACTAGACTTGAAGGAGGAGGGGGATAATACCAAGCTTGCCCATGACAGGCTAAAGAATGACAGACCAAGGTTAGAGGGACAGGGTGCTAGCAAGGGCCCTCAGACTGTTGCACCAGAGAAAGACCTCAAAGGAACTGATGGAGGTTCTCCTAAGAGGGTGACACGGCCGACAGCCCAGCTGAAGTGCCTCTACACCAATGCACACAGCATGGGCAACAAACAGGAGGAACTGGAAGGCACCATGCTGCTAAAAAGCTACGACGTAGTGGCCATTACTGAAACTTGGTGGGACGAATCCCACGAATGGAGTGTGGCTATAGGCTGTTCAGAAGTGACAGGCAAGACATGAAAGGCAGAGGCATTGCCCTCTACATGAAGAAATGGCTAGAGTGTGAAGAGCTGTCTCTGAAGAACAGCCATGAGCAGGTTGAAAGCTTATGGGTAAGAATTAGGGATCGAGGCAACAAAGGGAATTTTATGGTTGGTGTCTACTACAGGCCACATGATCAAGGGGAATCTACTGATGAAGCCTTCTTAGTCCAGCTATAGGAGGCATCACGCTCACAGGTCCTTGTCCTGTTCCAGGTTGAAAGCTTATGGGTAAGAATTAGGGATCGAGGCAACAAAGGGAATTTTATGGTTGGTGTCTACTACAGGCCACATGATCAAGGGGAATCTACTGATGAAGCCTTCTTAGTCCAGCTATAGGAGGCATCACGCTCACAGGTCCTTGTCCTGTTCAGGGACTTCAACCACCCTGACATCTGCTGGAAAAGTAGCACAGCGAGCCATAGGCAATCCTGGAGACTCCTGGAGTGCATGTAGGATAACTTCTTAGGCCAGGTAATAGCCAGCCCTACCAGAGGGGATGCCATACTGGACCTGTTCATCACCAGCGCAAGTGAGCTAACTGATGACATCAAGATTGGAGGCAGCCTGGGCTGCAGTGATCATGCACTGGTGGACCTCGCAGTCCTGAGGGATATGGGGCAGGCAAAGAGTAAAGTCAGAACCCTGAATTTTAGGAAAGCAAAATTCCAGCTCTTCAGGGAGTTAGTCAATAGGACCCCCTGGGAAACTGCCCTCAGGGACAAGGGAGCAGAACAGAGCTGGCAGATCTTTAAGGATGCTTTCCAAAGAGCACAAGAGCTCTTGATTCCCAGGTCTAAGAAATCAGGAAAGGAAGGCAACAGACCAGCATGGCTGAGTCAAGACTTGCTGGGCAAACTAAAGGGCAAGAAGGAAATGCACAAGCAGTGGAAGCAGGGACATTCAGAATCCTGGGAAGAATACAGGAATGCTGCCCAGTTTTGTAGGGATGGGGTCAGGAAGGCCAAGGCGCAGCTGGAGCTGAACTTGGCAAGGGATGCAAAGAATAATAAGAAGGGATTCTACAGGTATGTCAGCCAGAAAAGGAAGGGCAAAGAAAGCATATCCCCCTTGATGAGCAAGACTGGCAAACTGGTAACAACAGACAAGGAGAAGGCCGAGGTACTCAGTGACTTCTTTGCCTCAGACTTCTCTTCCCACACCTCTCACGGGGATGGACTGCAAGACAGGCACTGGAGAAGTAAAGTCCCTCCCACTGCAAGAGAAGATCAGGTTTGAGACCACCTGAGGAACCTGAACATACACAAGTCTATGGGACCTGATGAGATGCATCCTGGAGTCCTGAGGGAATTTGGCTGATGTAGTTGCCAAGCCACTCACCATGATACCTGAAAAGTCCTGGCAGTCAGGTGAAGTCCCTGGAGACTGGAAAAAGGGAAATAATTGCACCCATTTTTAAAAAGGGAAGCAAGGAGCACCCTGGGAACTACCAACCTGTCAGCCTCACTTCTGTGCCTGGGAAGATCATGGAACAGATCCTCCTAGAAGCTCTGCTAAGGCACATGGAGGACAGGGAGGTGATTCGAGGCAGCCAGCATGACTTTGCCAATCGCAAGTCCTGCCTGACCAACCTATTGGCCTTCTGTGATGGAGTGACCACATCAGTGGACAAGGGAAGAGCTACCAATGTTGCCTGTCTGGACTTCTGTAAGGCCTTTGACATGGTACCCCACAACATCCTTCCCTCTAAATTGGAGAGAGGTGGATTTGATGGGTGGGCTGTTTGGTGGATGAGGAATTGGTTGGATGGTCGTATCCAGAGGGTAGTGGTCAACGGCTCAATGACCAGACGGAGATCAGTGACGAGTGGTGTCCCTCAGGGGACAGTCCCCACAGAGTATTGGGACCAGTACTCATTAATATCTTCATCAGTGACATAGTGGGAGTGAGTGCACCCTCAGTAAATTTGCAGATGACACCAAGCTCAGTGGTGCAGTTGACACACCTGAGGCAAGGGTGTGTGCCATCCAGAGGAACCTGGACAAGCTTGAGGACTGGGCCTGTATGAACCTCATGAGCTTCAACAAGGCCAAGTGCAGGATTCTGCACCTCGGTCAAGGCAACCCCCAGTATCAGTACAGGCTGGGGGATGAAGGCACTGAGAAGAGCCCTGCTAAAAAGGACTGAGGGGTACCAGTAGATCAAAAGCTGGACATGAGCCGACAGTGTATGTTCACATCCCAGAAGACCAACCATATCCTTGGCTGCATTCAAAGCAGCATGGCCAGCAGGCCAAGGGAGGGGATTCTGCCCCTCTACTGTGCTCTGCTGAGACCCCACCTGGAGTCCTGCATCCAGCTCGGGAGCCCTCAGCACAGGAAAGACATGGACCTGTTGCAGCAGGTCCAGAGCAGGCCCATCAAAATCATCAGAGGGATGGAACACCTCTCCTATGAGGACAGGCTGAGAGAGCTGGGATTCTGAGAGCTGGGAAGAGAAGGCTCCGGGGATACCTTATTGCAGCCTTTCATACTTAAAGGGGTCTTGTAAGAAAGATAGGGACAGACTCTTTAGCAGGGCCTGTTGCGATAGGACAAAGGGTAATGGTTTTAAACTAAAAGAGCACAGATTTAGACTAGATATAAGGCAGAAATTTTTCACAGTGAGGTAGTGGTGAAACACTAGATCATGTTGCCTAGAGAGGTGGTAGATGCCCCATTCCTGGCAACATTCCAGGTCAGGCTGGACAGGGCCCTGAGCAACCTGATCTAGTTGAAGATGTCTCTACTCATGGCAGGGGAGTAGACTAGATGACCTTTAAAGGTCCCTTCCAACCCAAGTATTCTCTGATTCTATGTGTACCCTACCAACTGTTTTACTAGTTAGCAACAATGGCTGTACATAGCAACATATTGTTTTTAACCAAGTTTTTATTGACAATACCCTTGCCTTGATTTTGATGTTTTGATCAATAGATAACAGACGACTTCATATTAAAAAAAATATTAATTATTTTGGTCACCCTTCTATATATCAGCATTTTAATACGAAGCTCACTATCTGTGAAGACAAAGCCTCATTCTTCCCTTTTGCAAGATTTTTGCAACCATACTAAAAATCCTGCATAACAAAAGTTGCTTTTAAATATGGTTCTTCAAGAAAGAAATTTCAAAACTGTTGAGGCATCTCAAGAAAATAAAAAGTAACCTGATTGAATTGACAATGCTTAATATGAGCTGTGAATGACTTGAAAGAAAAGTTTAAATGCTATTCCCCTTCCCTGAAATACAGGGAGAACCTTCTTTTATTTACTCTTCCCAATTTTGCCAAAGTGCCACCCACCCATATTCTTTACTGTTTCTTCTGTCTCTTATTTTATGGAACTTTTTTTTTCTTTTAACGAGAGAACATCTTTCTGTAGATTTCTTTCAGTTGTGTTCCTCTCCCGGATTTACTAGTATTTTAACCGAGACAACGTACTAAGGTATTTTCAGTTCAGTTCCTGATGGACATTCCAAAATGAAAAACTTAAGTACTACCCACGATAAGCCTCACAGAAATCAAGCATTCTATGACGCATTCTTCACCAACAATCCCCCCAGTCCCATGAAATCTTTCATCACTAATGAAATTTCTTGTCTCCTTTCACTCCAGGAAAGGAAGCGATGCAGCAGATTTGCTCCTATAGCATTCCTCTGCAACATCAGCTGCACAACAGTTTTAGAATACCTCAGTCCAGAATCCAGAATTTAAGTAACTGGAATCTCAGCATTCAGGAAAGCTAACAAGCTTATTTGCAGGTTACTTTTGAATTTGCAGGGTTTCTCTAGCATATTTAAGTCAATGTTTTTTTGGTCTCTAAACAACAATCATAGGCCTACGTTTTTCTCCTTTCTCTCTGTCAGACAGGTTGCTTCTGCTTCAGGGGCAGCAAAATCCAGAATGTAGGCAGAATGGACAAAAAGAGCCAGAAAATGCACTAGCTGCCAGGATTAAGAACACAGCTAACACAGCTGTGAATCAGTCTTCATTCAGTAAATAGAGAAATCAATGTCACCAGAAGATTAGGAGTACCACACAAAAGTCTTGAGATAAGTATAATTTCAGCTATTTAGATGTTCAGACATTTCAAAGTACCACCATCTTCTGATTTTGTCTTCAGTTTCTCCTCAGAGAATGCACCATTTTTCCTTATTCCAAGGCATAAGCTTTGGTATTTCAGAAGTGAGAGAGGGAAAGATACAGTGGTTTACTCCAATCACAAACATACTGTGGCACAATTCCAGCAGAAATGTAGAAACTCTCTGCCATCATAAAGCACGTTCACAGCTGCTAAGCTGTGCAGCTCCAGTCGCAATTAGACAGCTGGTGGTCTGCTGACCATCCTCAAGCCAGCCACCATGCAACGTTGTGAAGTTTCACATGGGAGAAACAAGGAACATAAGGGTTTCCTGAGTTGCAAATTCATGCTTCCGATGCTGAATTCACCCAATGTGCTTGGTCTCCCTCAAATCAGCAGCTGACTCAGAAGCAGACTTTGGATTCTCACACAAACATCTGACAAACTCTAAAAGGGGTTTTACTTATTTGTTTGTACCAGCCCAATAGGGGCTATGTTGAAGCTTCTCCTTATAGACTATAGTCTGCCTGAGATTTTTTTCTGCAATTATTACAAAACTTCATTTAAATGAAGAGTAGAAAAAATTCACATTTTTCTCAAAAACAAAAATATTCTAGAAAAGAGCTAAGTATCTGACACCAGCCTCAAAAGAATCTACAACAGATCAGATATTGTAAAATACTATTAAACAGAATTAAAAAAAAAAAAAAAAGAGTGTAAGAAAAACAAATAAACCTGCCAATGTTTAAATTCTTGTTTTTTGTTTCTAGTTTTGACTGCCGCCAGTTGATTTGGGGGGTGGTGGAATTAATTTTGCAACTTTTCTCATCTAAATCTTGATCTGTGAGCCTAGATGAACAGATACCACGTGTTCAGTTACTTTCAATATGCAGGGAACATACATTAATTTTTTTCCAGACACTTACCAACTCTTGAAGCCTAAGAAATGCTGGCAGGATGTTTGCTTCCATTTCCCTCAGCTGCTCTGCTCTATCCAGTACCTTTTAACAAAACAATGATCTTACTATATAGACAATGTCAACTTCCATTCTCACATAGACTTGAAATTAATTCTTAGCTGCTGGAAACTCATTTCACCAATGGCTCTTAGACAGCAGAAGCCACCCCTTAATCAAGCAACATCAGAGGGACCATTGTTTCAGGTGTGCTTCCAGGCAGCTCAAGCAGCGCTGCCATCTAAATAAGATACAATCTCCAGGCAAGCAACATTCATGCCTTACGGCAGTGAAGAATTAAAGTGTAAGTAAACCACTCAAGAATATCACTGATAAAGACATGATATCATTAACAACCACTGAAACCTTAGGTTTTGTCCAAAATTCTTCTTGGATTTAAAAATTATGTGTGGTACTGTAGCACGATATCAACTTGCTTACTGTAGTGGGAAAAGATAGCTCTCCTAAGAAATTATTTTTCAGAAACAAACAGGAGCTGATATTTTCGAAAAGTTAGTTATCTGTAATTCACATAACTGAATTTTGAAAGAAAATTTTCCTGCTATAGTTTGCAGCCTAGAAATTTACAGGATGTATTGTATTGTTTGCAAACCTGGCATAGCACTAACAAATATGTAGCATATGTACAGCTGAAACAGGAAACACAACTAACATATTCTGGAGCCTCGAGAAAAGAACATGAACATGAAAACATGCATGGCTATCCTTTGGCAAAAAAAATCGTATTCCCAGTACACTTAAAATCTTGACAGGAATAAAAAAAGATAATAGAAACACATTTCTTTTGTGTTTTATTTACTGCTCGCAATATTAATCTAAATTCTGAAATTCATTACTTCTTTTGAATTACTGCTATAGAAAGAGAAACAATCGGACCCTAGAAAATTATATTTTTCTATCCTTTTACATTTCTTCCCCACACCAAAATATTAAGACATCAATCATTTCTGTTGCCCACAGTACAAAAAATAATTTCATGTGGACAACGAAGAAACACTTTATGAAAATGGTATTTCAAAATAACACCACACAGGAAAAAAAAACCTGAAAGATCAGCATCTCTGCAATAATAGCTCACGCTTCTTGGGAATTAATTTAAAACTACAATACAACGTATGATTTTATATTGACATCTGCATTTGGTTCATATAATAAAACGACTTCAGGGATGAAGACTGCTTTACGTTGCTGACCAAACAGAGGCTACGTATTTTTGCTAATAAAACACTGCTTATTGGACCCAGTGACATGGAGCTACCAAACACCACTACTTAGGTCTTGATCTAAGTAGATCTTACTTTTTAGTTTAGTGCAAAACAAACTAGAGTTTCTAATTACAACAGAGAAAATATACTTGTGACCCTGGCTTATGGACTATATCAAGTGGTTCACAGAAACAGCCTACCCACAGGCCTATAAATCCATGTCTTATTCTTTAGTTTTGATATAGATTTGTCACCGTTCAGCTTTTTTTAAAAAAAAAATTATACATTTTAGAACTGTCTGCTTACATTAAAAAGAGCTGCTTGTTACTTCTGTAAAGTGCTAAATATTGTAAATGTATGAATGACTACAAATTGCATCTGTTCTGCTTTTTCAGGTAGTTAGAATGAATAAATTGATTTTTCACAAGTAATCACAAGCATTCAGCACCCATGCTTGGGTTAAGAGAAACATTAAGAATCCTTTGCTTGAAAGTAAACATTTATCTTAATTTGCTCTGAGTTAACTGGGCTGAAATATTACGTTATTTACTACCAAAATGAAATAGAATAAATTAGCATTGCCAGTTTATGTTACCAGCATGCTGGTCTTCCATCAGTCTCAATTTAAAGCACTCTACCATAAATCCAGATGACACAGGTTAATATACATGAATTGATTTCCCCCACTCTTGTCTGTTCCCATGCAGAACGGAACTGAAATACTAATGTAATACTTAATTCTTCTGATTCAGCAGCTATTTACATGATACAATTGAACTTTTCTAGGTATTTAATTGTTTCCCTTCTATAACCACTGTTCAAGAACTTACTAATTTTCTGTTATACTAATTTTCATATAACACATGAAGCATTCTTTACTGATGTAGAACAACTTTTTAATTCAAATATTAACCTGAAAGTAAAGTTTTACTATATAAAGTATTTTGTGAAATTCCCTGAAGGTCATTTTAGTGCTAAATTTTGTTCTTATGGAATTGTTGAAGGATATCAATAGCACTTTTGTGACAGTAAATTAAAATGAATTACCTATTAATAACTTCTTATCTACTCTAAGTAAGGGTGTATTTTTTTAAGAAGCATGTCAAATTTATTAACTTCATGAGCTGTAGGAAACTATGAGATAGTACTGTTTCCATTAAACGTAACATGAAGTTATTGAACCCAGTAGTTAAGTATTTTTAAATGGAAATAAAACTTATTTAACCATAACCTGTGAAACAGCATAAAGAATATTCAGTGTAATTATGAACTTCTTGTTTGATTGCAAAAAAACAAGCAATATGCCTGTTGATTGCTGTGAGAAACGTGCAGAGTGATTACCCAGCATCATTAAGCTTTCAGTCTTGAACTACTTCCATGTTTTCTTAAATCGTCAATTTCACCTCTCAAGAAACCCTTAATTCCTACCGCTGGGCTGATATATCAGTCCATGTGTTGTCACTCCGTGATGCATATATACAGTTACACATCACTAATACTATGGCGTTCATATTTTTAAGATAGTAGTTTTTATTCAACCAAGTGAGAGACAGGGAAAAAAAAAAAGTAGTTCTGAGGAGTCTATGTCCTTTCTTCAGACCTCTTGTACGCCTGAAATTTGTTTCTATGTCCATCTCTCAGCACAATAAATGCTGTTACAGATGCCTGCAAATTTTGACTCCTTTATGTAGTAAAGATCATCACAGAAAAAAACCCCAAAACCTAGCATTGTAGTACTACATTGTTTCAATCATTCCTGTGATTTAAATTATGATTATTTTTTCTGCAGTCTGACAGTTTATTCCACTTGAGTATATCATCAAATTTTTCATTGCAGTCATCTTGTCCATCTCCATTTTAAAACTAGAGTTCTTGTCTCTGAGGGCGGCAAGTGTAGTTGAAGACATAAGATCTCAACAGCACTTTTACAGAGGATATTATGCATTTTAGTTCCTTAATACAACTTCTAACCTGGAGCTATTCTAGCCAATCAATTCTTGTCATTTGCATGCTCCACAATTTGCTTCTGCCCTGCTTCCCAGCTTTGCTTTCTCATTTGTGAAGCTATCTTCACAAGGAAACAGATAAGTATGTTGTAAGTATATTGTTAAGTATAATGTATCTATACTTACAACAGATTACTAATTATAAAACAAATACAGGCTCTTATTATATTTAAAGATATTGTAGTATTATGTACTTAATTTAACTATGCAGTATAATTTACGTTCATTATTAGCTATGCTGTACAGATTTTGTGTATAAAAAGTTCTAAAACCAGAAAAAATAACAAACCTCATCTAAAGCCAGTAAATGAACTGAAATAATCTAAGCAGTATCAAGAGATTCTGAATTAGGTCCATGTGGAAATTTTGTGAAAACTGCTCTATAACGCACACATTTCACATGCAAATTATTGGTAACAACTACTCACACCCTCTTAAGCGAAATGAAACCAGAACACTAAAATTAAGTTACTTACAATGTATAATGTTTGATCTTGAAGCTCTTGACTTGCAACAGCTTGTTTAAATAGACGTACAAAGTCATTGAAAGTATCGCAAGGCACACAAGAAGTCTGTTCTGTCTCAGAACAGCTTTGCAACTGGATTAGAATTTCTTCTAAAAGAAGTCGTGAAGTGAAGTATTCCACACAGTTCACAAACACATGAGGAAGCTGAAAAAGATTAAAAAAAAGTTATAATTTTAAAAATTATACAACTTTTTTTTTCAGTGTAAATACTCCAGAATCAGTTTTCTCTTCCAGATGAGACAATGAAAGACACCACACCTTGCCAACAGAATATAGAGCATAAACCAAAAAACCTTGTCAAAAAAGAATGATCGCTTATGTACCTAGTCAAAAAATTATGTATCACAAAGTGAAGACAGAGGTGATGAATCCTCACACGAAACACACAGTGTATCGTCTATGTTTAAAAATTGTGAGCAATAAAGAGGAAATTAAATAGCATTTAGTTCAAAGAAAAGTCAGGCAATCATAACACATTACACAATTGTAAAATACTCCATTACAAATTACACTGTCTAGATAACATGAATTTCTCAAACTTACAGAGAAAGTAATCTAGGCGCACACTACCCAAAATTACTCCGAATGTTTTCAACACTCACTTCATACAAATGACAAAGTGTAACTCTCTATATCAGAAGTGTAATCAATGTGCTTGTGCAGAACATCTTTAGAAAATCAGATCTTTTCAAAGCAAAGAGCATGTAAAAAAAAAAGCAGAGTATGAGATACATTTTAAGGCAATCCATAAAATGTAAGTACCAATTTAGTAATATTGAAAAGTTACGGTCATTTGTCTATAAATAGCAGATTCTATAGACCACAAAATACTACCAGTATGTAAACCTACATAAGGCAAAAAAGGTAATTTTCTAGCAACTCTATTTTCAAGAAATAGATTTGCATAGCTCCATACTGTCTGGTATGGCATATACTCTTTATTACACTGAACATTAAAACCTCTGGAAAACATAAGCCATTGGGATCCATATGCATTACGTGCAAAATTAAATTTCTGATACAGGAATGCGCGTGTGTATAATAAAAAATAAAATTAAAAAAAAAAAAGCTAAGTACTTCATTCCAGTCTTTCTATTTAAAACACAATATATGGCATATGATTCAGCAGATGTGGGAAAGTGTGGGTATATGCTGGCAATCCATTCAAACAGCATGTAATAAAAAGCTTTCTTATGATTTTGAACTCTATTACAAAGGGGCTACATCTCCAAAAGCACCTATTCAAAGTGCTGCACCTCCACAGCAGGAGGAAAGCTGGGTGCCACAGATGTGATTCACAACACTGTTATGTAGGAAACACCTATACTTGGCAATAAGAAATTCTGTAGAAAGAGTAGCTGCTTAAATCCTATTCCTTTCCAGCATCCGGCCACATCTTTGGATATGTTGCAAGTGAGTAGCACAGTGTTAGGAGCATTGCACAAAAGGCTACTGCATGAAAGAGGGTCATGACCACCATCTTCCACCTTTCTCACTCTGTAGAATTTTTAATGAGAGACACAAAAAATCACTGTGTTTTGCGTAAAACCCAGGCCTGCAGATATGTGATAAGTGCACTCTGGACATGCCTAAAGGATCAGAGCTATGAGAACACACAAGTGGAAAATTCTGGTCTAGGCGTGAAGTAGGCATCTGTCACTGGTTTTAAATCCCTGAAGTACGTGACTGACAAAAACATAGGCATTAACAGGTTTAGGTGAAAATTTCTGTGATGACACCTTTCAACTTAGGAGGACTTTAAAACTTGTTCTGGGAAAAATTAGAACAAGAATAAAACTAGCACGAATATACACATTTGCTAGCAAAAAACAGAAGGGCCACAAAAGTGGCAAGAATCTAGTACTTAAAAGCGTTCTGACAGCACTGACCAGAGAGGGATGACAATGGACTTAAGGCCATACCTCTCTACATCATTCTTCAAGACAACTATTTTTGTAAGAAACATGCAATCAGCCACAATGACCCACTACTCCTATGGAAGTCAGATTCTCACATGATGTTTAAAGAGCAGGTTTCTCTGCCTGCAATCCTTGCAATTCAAGTCCATTCCTGACAAAGTTCCTGCTTCAGGTTAGTAACATATAGCAACTCCAGTATTAATCAGCAAGGTATAACTCATCTCGCAGTGGGCAGCATTAAAGTAGTTTTCTTCCTTAACAGTTGAGGGGAAGAGAGTTTGTAGTCCCAGCTTCCTTGGAATGTAAGGCTCCAAATTCAAAACTGTACAATGAATTCTCATTAGTTTCCACATCACGTATTCCAATAACATCTGTCTTATCAGTCCTCCTTGACCTACTTCTTACTTACTCCTACACTGTTTTCCAAGAGCAGGAATTCAAAGGAAGTTTGTACTAGATGGCGAAGCTGAAAAAGAGAATACAGTCCTAATATTTCTGAAAATGATGCTCACACAGGAGGAAACAGCAACAGTACTGGCATGGGAGAAGATCCATGCCACCAGCAAAAGACTTGACAATGCCAAGCTTAGTAAACATAAACACACCTGGAGAATTAATTTTATTACAGTAAAAATTGTGAACAGCATCCTGTTTCTTGGGGTTTTTAACTTATGATGTGTTTGGAGGATCTAGAATAAATTAAAATGCACAAAATGCATATTTTCAAACAGGTTCCAAAAATATAACAGTAAAACAGGCTATTAATACACTTTTCCCATTTAGAGTTGATTCATTAAGCAAAAGAATAATAATTTATTGTTCAGGAATTAAACCAATTGTTCCTATGCAACACTGCTCCAATATTTTAGAAGTCCTGCATTGTTTCTTTTTCAAAGTGAAAGACAGATTTTCCTGCTTCTACAAGAGGGCTGACTGGGACTAACCAAATATGCTGCAATGAATACAACATTCTCCCAGCGTCTGCAAAAACAACTATCACTACCAAAAGGAATGGCATTTCCCTGGTATTCAGCCAGCAATTTTCATCATTTCAGACTCACTTTTTTTTTTTTTCCAGCAAACACGGACAGGTTGTATGTTTGCTTTGAACACTTTTAGCAGCCTAAGTTTAAGCTCTTAGGCTGACATTTAAACAGATCATATACATCCAACCGAATATAATTAAAATTAGTTTGTTAACACAAAATCAACAAAACAAAATTCCACTTACTGCAAACTCTTGTCACTGTTCTTCATATACTCTCTCACTCTCTTCATATGCAAGTAAAATTAGTTTAAAGGAGAATTAGAAGATTAATTGAACTAGAATCATCATAAGAGTACTTACTTGTCACTAGAGCTATTTCAGGTTAAGTCCGTTTTAGAGGGCTGAACAAAATTTGGCTCCTTTTTTTCTTTTTAAGCTCTCTTAGAAAAGTTATTGTGATTTATATTACACCTCAGTATGTACAACTTAATTTTATCCTAAGTGCATAGTGAGAAGATTGATGCATTCATCACACAGTAAGTGGAGAAGAATCAAGAAGGCAGAAATGGTTGAGGAAACAAACCATTTTGAGGCAGCAAAAGCTAGTTTTAGAGACCATCTCTTACAAATAAATCCTAAATTCAATATCCATTGTGAACATTCTTACCTTTAAGGTGTTTAGAAGAGTTTGCATCACATAGGTCTTTCCACTAGATGTATGCCCATAAATAAAGATGGATGGAAAACTAAACTGCTGACGCTGCGGAGGCGGGGGGGGGAGGGGGAGAAAAAAGTTGTTGCTGTTTCAATTCTTCTTTTTCATTCAACAGACAAAAGATTTACTACTGACATTTCCCTCCAAAAGAAAAGTTATCTTTTAAACTAAGGCATTAAATATAAAATATGCCAATTATTATGGAATCAGTGTGATCAAGTTTTATGTTACATCTTCAAAATGCTGGGAGAGTAAGTCCCAAGAATCAAGTATCACATAAAGCTACCAGTGAAACTGCTGTAACATGAGGATACTTTTTTGTGGGAAAAACAAAACAAACCAACCCCCCACCCCTCAAACCCCCCACAAAAAACCCTAACCAAACAAAAAACAAAAAAAACCCCAACCAATACACACCAGGAGAGAAAAGCAGTGGAGTCTTAATTCAAATTAGTTAACTAACTGAAAGAATCACACACTTCTCCAGACTAACAATCCCAGTTCCCTCAGCTGCTCCCCATAAGACTTGTGCTCCAGACCCCTCACCAGCTTTGTTGCCCTTCTTCGGACACACTGAAGCACCTCAATGTCCTTCTTGTAGTGAGGGGCCCAAAACTGAACACAGGATTCAAGGTGCAGCCTCACCAGTGCCGAGTACAGGGGCACAATCACTTCCCTACTCCTGCTGGCCACATTATTTCTGATACAGGCCAGGACGCTGGTGGCCTTCTTGGCCACCTGGGCACACTGCTGGCTCATATTCAGCTGGCCGTCAACCAGCACCCCCAGGTCCTTTTCCGCCGGGCAGCTCTCCAGCCACTCCTCCCCAAGCCTGTAGCGTTGCATGGGGTTGTTGTGAGCCAAGTGCAGGACCCGGCACTTGGCCTTATTAAGCCTCATACAGTTGGCTTCTGCCCATCGATCTAGCCTGTCCAGATCCCTCTGCAGAGCCCTCCTACCCTCCAGCAGATCAACACTCCCACCCAACTTGGTGTCATCCGCAAACTTGCTGAGGGAGCACTCGATCCCCTCATCCAGATCATCGATAAAGATATTGAACAAGACCGGCCCCAGAACCGAGACCTGGGGAACACCGCTTGTGTTCCATCTTGTCAAGCAAACAACATCTTGTCAAGCATAAATTGCAAGCTTTACATTATCCGAGCTTCTGCAAACACTACAAACTGCTTTTCTTTCCATTAGCACCAAACAGAAAAAGAATTAAATGGTTTGTTGGAGAAGATGGTAAAGGAGCTCACTCTTCTCTCACAATATTTCAATATAATACCTCTATTTATTTAATGGTAATGATGCTGTATATTTCATGGATTATTTCTTTCAAGACGCGATTAAAATAGTTAACTTCTTTTTCTTTCATTCTGAACAGGGTTTTTTGTGTGTTTTTCTCATTTCTAAGAATCTTGTACACTGACTTAAAAAATTAATACAAAAATAAATTTGACAAACACTTTTGATGAAAAACAATACTCAGTTAGTTCAAGATGAAGGCGCTCTTACGCAAGATATGTGGATACTCTAAACTGAGCATTTTAACAAGAATTTAAGTATCCATTTTTTTAAGGAGACTTGCTGCAACTATGCTTGCAATAAATACATAAAACCTAAATGCTGTAATTTTATGTAATTATTATCTTTAATTAAAGGCAGAACCAAAAGCAGATACTAATTTCCATTTTGTTAAGTGAATGTAAATGGATGTATGAGCTGTTTTTAAGTTTGCATTTAAAAACCTCCATTACTTTTCCACAGCTTTGCCAAACAGTAACAGAATCAATTAACAAGCCACTGATTTCCAAATCTTATAGCCAGCAACAGAACTACTAAGAATCAGATCAATTTCATGTACTTAGAATTCAGGCATGCAGATATTAGATGAACAGGTCAAAACCAAATGGAATTTCTACACTGCCACCTACAAAAATAAACACCCCATAACTTTAGACTGGGGAAGAAGACAGACTTAATTCCTGGTACTAACTGGCAAAGATGGAACAGAGTCATGGAGAAACCAGACTTCAGAGACAGCATGGCACAAATAGCTATAAGTTTGTTTGGGTCTTTCCAGCTGCAAAAACAGCTTTCGACCTTCAAACTAACTAGATCCTATCTGCCAAAAACTAATGTTAGAGACAGGTAACAAACAAACAAACAAACACACACCAAAACCAAAACAAAAAACACCCACAACAAAACAAAACAAAAAAAACAACAGAGACAACCAAAGTACTTTCATAACAACATCACAAAAGTGCCCTTAAACATCTACTCCCTCCTCTGAGACAGCAGAATGTCTCTGTTGTACTCAAACGTACACTATAAAAAGCACTACCTCTCCAAATATTGACAGCAGCATGGACACTTGCGATTCTCGACAAGGCACCAAGCTTTCCAAGTGAAGCAGCGTAGCTGCTGGGTATGCTGGATGTTCAAGATTAGGCATTTTGGTGCTCCTGTTGTTAGTCACCTAAACACACATGTCCAATTTGAGGTGCAGAGAAAGGAAATGAAGTGATCTGGAAAACAAAACGTTTTAATTATCATTTGCTGTCATATATATAAAGCAGGAAAATTAACAGGAATTGACGTCAAACCTCAACAGACATTCTAGCTCAGGATAATGGTATTATGATAGACTTAAGAGACTTAATCAAAATCAAACTTTGCTATGTAAGGCATTATACAGACATTTCCACACCAGACAGAATAAAAAATATCAAATAAAAAGGGAAAGGCATACAGGGAATGAGCAAATCAATGTAACAAAGAATTGTGATAGTTTAGTTAACGGGAGAAATACATATTTACTTCTGATTTTATATACATTCAAAAGTAGCAAGGGAATAAAATGAGGAACGTAGATTAGTCACAGATCATCACCTCCACGGATAGACAAAAAACTAGGATTTACAAGCAGTAGAGAAGTGGCAAGGCATAAGGAAACACAAGGATGACAAAATAATAGCTCTTCAGATGTTAACAAGAATGCCTACCACAGCTTAAAGCAGCAGAAACATAAGAAAATCCAGCTGAGAGTAAGGACTGGAAATACTCCTTAAAAATAGTAGGAGTGCAAACCAATTACATAAAGCTGTAATATTCATTACAGTCTACCTTTTAGACAAGGACTAGTCGAGGAAGACTGAGGGTCCTGATTGTCCAAACACTGGGAAGGCTGGTTTTTAGTGACAGAATATGGAAAAACAGCTCAGTCAAACATCCTACTTTGTCTGCAGCTTCTAAAACTGTCAGAAATATGGTACATTTGTCTGTAGCGATAAGGACAACATGCAGAGAGAAAGAACTGAAGTAGCCTCACGAGCTGGATTTGGACTTTGTCAAATGTAACATAACTCAACACCCAAAAAGAAAGTTTGGAAATGTAGGTAGCACAATAAAGGCATCTCAGCAGCAGGCAGGAATATCTGTAAGTTATCAAGACAAAGATAATAAACAAAGCACTCCAAACACATTTAAATATAAGTAGTTACAGCTAAATATGTTATGCTGGGTCTAAGTGCAATGCCTCATGAAAACATTAGGTTAGCAGGAGGAGATCAGAAATAGCATGGGAAATGGAAAACAAACTGTTCTGAAGAAAAACAGCAATATTGGTTTCCACTGACAGGGGAGCTATTGGGCTACAAGGAGGCTCACAAATACAAATGTATTTATGGAAATACAATAGAGTTCATTTTGGGACCGATCTCTATTAAGCATTTCCATAAATACATTTGAGAAAACATTTTTTTCTTTTATTTTTACAATTTGCCCTCAGTGTTTTCTGAAGTAAAAGTTTGGGATTGTAGAATCAATAGAAAAACAAGTGGAATTAATGAGGAAAAAAAAGGATAACCCCAATAATAGAAGCAATGCCAGTATAATGAAATTCAGCACTTGAAATTACACATATTTGTAAGTAATCATATCACACCTAACAAGGACTACAGTTGGAGATCAAGAAACTGTAAGTCTGAAGTAACCTGAAAACCAAACAAGTCAGTCACACAGTAAGTATGAAAAATCAAAGTAATGCAGCTATTGAAAAAAACAAACACATAATCATATGTATCAGATACATTATTTCCCATACAGACAACCATACAAATAGCCATGGCCCATTTTATCATATCAGCAAGATCAGCTTTGAACAGGTCTGCCCACCTGTCCATTGTACCTATTCAGATATCTATTCAAAATGGAATGAAGATACAAAAAATTGAATAGCTCTAAAAATGAGCTAGGAATAAATATCAAGGATGAAAAGAAAAAAAAATTAGTCAGTAGCCTCCAAAACAGAGGACAAAGAAGGAAGGGAAAGAGTTTTAGAAAAGGCTGAAAAGTTTGCATGGATTTTAGATAAAGGACAGCTCTTTTGTTCCACTGACTACATGAGTACAGGGTTTGACTAAGTGTCCTAAACGTAGCAAAAACCGTAAGGTACCTCAGCTTCTCCACGCTGCTGCCCAACTGCACCCCTGAAAAGCATGAATCACCTGTCGATCACATCGGATCTGTCAGTCCTGTTTGCTTCTCAAACACCCTAGCACATGTCAACCTACAGTGAACACATTGAAGCCGCTGGATGAAACCTACATCTGTACAAACTATATGCAGGTGTCAGTCTTCAACAGGATCCCATCTCAGAGCTCACCAGAGAAAGGGTGTTTAGAGCACCATGCTCACGAAACAATTCATTTAGATTAAATGGCAATGCTGACACACAGACTAGCATCAGCCAAAGCTTGAATTCAGGATGTCCCTGAGCAGGGAAGGCTGTGCATGTGACTCCATCAGGAGGGCCAGAATACACTTACTTTCCAGCAGAGCCCAGGTTAAGGATACCAAAAGCACAAGTCAGATTTCCTGGCTGGATTTCACCATTTAGGAGGACACCTTCCAGCTCACTGGTCCTACTCTTGGCATGTCTTTCTCTACCCTTTATCACGGAAGTTGACGGAACTGACGGGACTCGCCGTTCCGCTTCCCCTCAGACCCTACAAGCACTCTCGGCCACACAGACACCGCCGGCCCAGGCGTGCCCTGGCTGAGGGGCAACGACTAACCCCAGCCCCCGCAGCGCGGTCGCACGCCGCGGGCTGAGGGCTCCTTCCGCCACGCGCC